GAAACGTTTGGGAATGTACCACGTCCACGGTTCAACTTTGGAAATGATCATGCAGACAATGGACTTCGAACGAGGTGTGTTCCTCTACGTCTTCCTACCAATATGACTATGTTGGGAAAACAAGGTCAGACAACATCTAATTTAAAGTAAATTGGGCTCACCCTATTTCGTTTTAAGGTGATAAAGTGCTGATAGTTGAATTTTCCCACAAGTATATGAGTAGAGCTGATATTTTCCAATGAATTGCATATAGCCTTGCCTTCCAAAGAGATGTTCTTAGTCAGGATAGACTGCATAGGTCTTATCAACACCCCCATCAAGAGTTAAACCATCACAATGCAGCGTATAAGCTCGACACGGTAACCACAACGCCACAACGCCACAATGCCGCGAGCGCTCTTGGGTCACAGGGCGGATATGAATTTCAAGGAATGTCAGGCATTCTCCATATCACATTCTGTGTTAGGATTGTTGATTAAGTAAACTTATATTTGCTATAGCAATCAAGGCATTACTTTTTTCGTTAGTGACTAGGTTTTAGATACTACTGGTAAATCAAATGAGTTGTCACAAGGGCATCATGGCAATGTGGCGTAATGGTTAACATATCGAGCCTATGCGCTGCACTGTCACGGTTTGACTCCCGCTTGGGTTGCTGATAAGACCTATGTGAATTAGAAACTACAGTCCACCCTGGATGACATCACCTTTGGGAGAGCAAGGCTATATGAGATTGAATGGAAAACATCATATATCATTGTGGGAAAATTCAACTACCAGTTTTTCATCACCTTAAATGAAATAGGGTGAAACCAACTCATATGTCTAATTTATTGGTAGTCTCGAAAACCTAATCACTCACTAAAATTAAGTCAACAAGGATCAAAAAAGGGGAATAGAAACAATCTACTTAATTTTAATTGAATGAAAAATTAATATTTTCCATGCACCATTATATTTTTAAACAAGAATATGAACGGTCATTTGCTCTAAGAATTCGCGTTATAGATGAAAGATGAGTAACAAATACAACAATCGAATCCATGCTTTTATGTAATTATTAGAATCCCGGCTAATCAATGGTAACCTACCGATACGGGAATACCAGCATTCAGATCGGAGCTGCTTGTCGTTTCCTGCTGCAGTCGGCGTCTGGCAGCTGAAAACACCTCGGTGTTGAAGCAGGCTGCATCATCATCTATGTCTTGAGTAGCATGTAGGAATGCCGGTTCGATTGACCGCCCAAACGGATCAAGAGATCGAGGTCGTGACATAGTCGTGCCATATGATAAATATTCATTTTCTCCAGATTGCCCTAATTTTACGACATCCATATTACCTGCTGCTATTGTGCCTCTTAACTGGTTTCCATTGGCCGGTATATCGTTAAATCTGTTATCAGTTGAGTTCAAATCAATATTTATCAATTCCGAGCCTCTAGGAGCAGAAAGAGCTTCTGAGCAAGACCGAACTCCTAGATCTGGAGGCCATAAGCAGATAGATTCTTCCCTCTTCTGGGCCCCATTAGCTGGAATATTGATCGACTGTTCGAGCCTAGCTAGATTTTGGGATGAAATAAATTCAACCAGGAGATGACGTCGAGCCAAATCAGCATTGCCGGGAACGAGAGTCGGTACCGATGACGTTGCTGTTAAATTGGATGGCATAACTGGGATCGTCGTCAATGCATTATGTTTGGATTCAATAACGTTCGGACTACTACGTCCAGTATGTTGGACGCGTACAGGAAGAGAACTGCAGGTTCGGCCGGTTGATGTGGCAAGGAGCATGGCTGGTCGTCTACCTCGTGGAATAGAAGCCTGTGATTTGGGCCGAAACCGGGCTGGCCATTCGACCCGAACGTTGCTAAGATGAGAGTTAAATTCATCCATAAAAACAGTACCCCGATGAACCTGTAGAAGTGCAAGGTGGGGACATCAAAAACCGAAGCTAATATAAATTATTGAAGAGGGACGAGGTAAGTTGGTGCCGACTAAAGTAAGAGGCACCAGTAACACCTGCATCCGTTACGGATAAAAATTGATGGAGCACTTGATTAACGTAGGAGAATAAGTCCCCGAAAATATAATAAGTGAAACGTAAGATGACAATTACCTCAATTCAGATTGGTCTATTTTATTCTCTAGAATAATACACATATGCATTAATAGAGAAAGTCGGATTTAAACCATAAATATGGAAAAAATAGTCGTACCCTGGTACCACATTTCAGGCAATGTCGTATGCCTGAACCCATCTGACCTCTCCCTGTAGACCGACTGACTGGCATTGAAGAATGTGTTAGCTGGCTACCTCCAATAACACCGCTGCAATTAGTAAGGATAGTATCGCGCTCACAGCCTACAGCTGGTGGGGGATTATTTGCCAAGGTTTCATGACAGGTGCACAAACAGGAGGGAGAACGAACTGTGCCGAGCTGACCAGTCGGTGCCCGCCTCATAACACCTCCACCAAAGGAAACAGAAAATGAAGCCGTAGAGAAGGAGGCAAGATCATAGCAGACTTCCCAAATTAGGTGATCCCATCGACTGACAGGAATGTAGGCTTCCGTCACGGAGGACTCCGGTCGGCTACAATATTGTTGGCCATTGGTTCGAAAGGCTCGGCTAATATCGGCTAGAGTTGACTCAGTGTCAACGAAGGTCGGTTGGGGAATTTGAGCCAAATTTGATGCTGGCAAAGAGACAGATGGCATGCCTGGACCTTCTGTAGGCACAGTAGAAAGTAGGGAAGAGGATGATATGGCAGGAGCGAGAGGAATCACAGAAGCAAGTGGAAGATTAGACCCACGTGACCTCGGTTTGCGAGCCAGGACGTTGATTTCCTCGAAAGACTGACCATAAATTGGATAAAAAACAAAAGGTAAATCAAGTATTATTGTTCTTAAAATAATATAATTAATATCAGGCTTTGCTAAAAGGTAAATCGAACTCATCTCCTAAAAGGAGCTGCATAAATTAAGGTAGCAACAAGGCTGTCCTATTACAAGTGTCGCCAGCCAAGCTTGATATCTTGTGTTATATGATGGGGTCTTCTCTTTACATTGATGCTCAGGTTAAACAAGCTTCGGATTGTTCTCCCATTATTCGAGTCATATCCGATATAACAATTTTACATCACATTCTTTGTTATATCGTTACGTGTGATGATTTAAAAAAGCAATTTCATCCCCTCCGGCAAACATGTTTAAGCCATATCATCGGATCAGGCAATATTAAAGCGGGTGTGTAGATCAAGTTTGTTCACATCAGAAGTGGTTGTATACAGGGCGGAGGCGAGATATGAGATAGAATGGTCTCGGACGCAAAGGCTTGTTGATTAGGGTATTTCGGCTACGAAACGCATGAGGCTAATAAAATTAATAGATTTGGAAATATGTTAAATTTAAGGAATGGTGGTAAAAAGTTAAGTACGAATTATTTATCGAAGATATGAAGATCAAGATGGTGCGTCCTTTTGTGAGATCGCAGTCTCCTTTCGTTGTATAGATGTTGTTTGACCTTGTTTTCGCAACTTAGTTACGTTTGTAGGAAGAATTAGAGGAACGTACCTAGTCCGGAGTCGATTGTATGCATGATTATTTCCAAAGTTGGACAGTGGACGTGGTACTTTCAAAGACGTTTCACCGGCATCGTAGTAGGCATCGTCAGTGAGTCTCGCCATTCGTAGCACTATAGTACAGCTCGTCAAAGAGACAAGTGAAGCCCATGCTTTGACCAAACGTGTGCTAAGCATTCGTGGTAGCTCCCCTTCTGCCCTCGGTAATTCACATTTCCTATATCCTCCTATCACAATTTTTACCGTGCTCATTTTAATGTAGTGTGGTGTGCTCCTTCGAGCGGCATTCATGAAAACCCTTCACCCTTGTGATGGGAATGTTGACCAAAGTCTGTCATATTGTTATGTAGTCCTTCCCTGTGTCTATTGTTAGCCAAATAAATTTAGTCTCCACCGCGTCTTTCCTGTTTCTGCGAAGGAAAGTTGGGTTTCGAGGAATCTCTTGTTTCATAATTGTTGAGCTTGCTTTCATTTCGAGTGAAAGTGTTGGGTTAAGAGATTCGAAGGTCGGTTCTACCAGAAGACGACGGTGGATTCCTTTTGACCAGCTGACCTTACTGGAAAATTCATGCTGACGCTGTTTCCGAGGTAATCTCTTTCGATTCCGGTAAAAAGTTGCTAAGCTTTCGTCCATCATACGACGAACATCATCAGAGCGAGGTAATATCGTCAAAACAAAATTCAAGCTAGCGAGTCAAGAAAACTCACCGGCGAATCCCTAAAAAGTGGTATATATACTCTACATCTGGCCTCTTAGATCAAGTATAAAGTAATTTGGTTAGTTAAGGTCATATGTCAACTTCCATGCATGTGAGTGTCTGTATCTGTATTTGCATGTGCTTGTTTGTGTTCGCTTATGCACGAAACCCGCAGTGATGGCTCAAAGTAATTAGGACAGCAAAAAGGAAAGTCTGTTTTTCTGGCCATCATGGTTTGATGACCTTTATCTCCCCCTTTCTACAATTAAGTTATAACCATCACTCCGATTGCGCAAGGTCGGACACACGGCTGGTTTTGTTGATGAGCCTATTTTTTGTTTGTGGTCTTAATGCGAGAGAGAAAAAGTGAGCTAAAAGTACAGAGAATTGACTATCATTAGAACCAAAACAAGAAAAGACTAGTTGCGTAGCCTCCTTTTTGCAGGTGGCTCAACTCCCGCTCTATCCTTTAGTCTATTAATCAAGCACAAATAATTTTTACTTATTTTCTTGCCGGTATTCATTACATTCAAGGTATTTCCTATTCGGTTTATTTCTGTGGCTTCTCTAATTTTACGTTTAGCCGCAAACATACCATAAACAGCAAAACAAGTATGAGACCATTCAATCTCGTGTCCCTTTGCTGCCCTGTGCTCAGCAAGCTCCGATTTTTGAACCCAATAGCCTTTGCAGACGCTTTTGTGCTCAGCCACCCTTTGTCGAATGGGACAAGTCTCTCCAACATAAAAGCGACCACAACACACTATTTCGTAGCAACCCGATCTGGATAATGGGTCAAATTTCTCTCTAAAAGTAGGCATAACTGAAGAAATTGTCGTAGTTTCCCTGAAGACCGTTTATGTTCCCCACTTCCTTATTTGATCACCTATCCTTTTGGAGAGAACGCACGAGGGCAAAGACAAAACATGAGA